CTTTCTCGGAACTGATATATCAAATCGATTGCAAAATTACCATCCGCTAAGGTTGCATCTTTTTATCGTGCTCAACACTTTCTTTCTCCTGATTCTATTGTTTATCTCTATAAATCTCAAATCCGTCTTTGTATAGAATACTGTTGCCAAATCTGGGACAGATCTTCCAAACTCGGACAGGAATGGCGTGCGTTTGAGCACTATTGCTGACCACTCAAATGATTTTATTATTTGATAACTTGAACACAACTGCTTAGATGTTTAATAAACATTTTAGAAATGTGCTTGAAAAAAGAAATGCTAGCTCGGTTTAGCTACTTAACTTAAACTAGGAAGAAAAGAAAAAAAAACAAAAAGAAAAAGAAATTCCTTACAAAAAAGAAAGTATGTAAGCACTAAAATAAAACTAAAGAAACTCGAAGCAAACACTTTTTGTTACAAAAAATATTATAAGCGTGGTCAGTTACAGCGTGCGATCGCACACTATTCTTGTCTGACCCTGATCTCCCAATGATGCTCTTTCTCTTTTAAATAAGGTGCAAAAATGCATTGTAAACATAGTTGGACCTGCTCTTGCAGCTAACCTCCAACCTTTATCACATTGTTGCAATGTTGCTTCTCTTCCTTTTTGTCTACAACTACAATGATGGAACTAGCGTCTCTTGTGCCATCTACTAAAATTCATTCTCATGTTACTCTCTAATCAATTAAGTCTCATCCATTTTCTGTGACTATTCCTAATTGCTCCAAAAACTCTTATTTGTCCAGTTTTTCCCCTCGAACATCAGTTCTTTGGAATTGGCTTCCTTCATCTTGCTTTCCTGATTCATATAATTTCCAATCTTGTTCTTCTTTAAGTCATCTGTCAATTGTTATCTTGCTTTATAAACTTCATCTTTTCTCTTCCAGTAACTAATAGTGGTTGCTTGCAGCTTGTTTGCAGTTGTTGAAAGCAATGATGCAATCATGTTGAAAAAAAAAAAAAAAAGTAAAAAAATCAAAATTTAA